GTTTTTCTTCTTTGCTGTTATTATTTCCCAACTTTCAGATTTATTTTACTGTTAGTTTAATCTTTTCAAATTCATAAACTTCAAATCTTTGATAAAATCTATTTTAGTTATTAATTAAGAGTTAGTTTAATTACAGATTAGTCAAACAATCTTTGGGGACAACGACCTTGCATGAGCATTTATACTACAATTACCTTGTATTCTTGCAAGTATTTTCAGTGATTTTAACCCTGTTTGCACAGGTACTAAAAATCCTATCATATATGCACTCGAAACTTCTGGTTCGGGTTCTTAACATATGTAGGCCTCATGGAATTCTGGTTTTGATTAATACAAAATCGAGGAGTTTCATGTCTTTATGTGCTCTTTAAATTTACGGAACTTTATGCCCTCAATTATTTGGAATCAAAGAACTTCAGGTTCTGATTCAATCAAAAGAACTCTAGGTCCTAATCTAGTTATATGATGAGGATCGAGGAACTTCGAGCCCTGATCTTTTGTATAATACAAACTCATCATAATAATTAAGATCAAACTTAAAATTAAATAAAAAAACAAATAAAAAAATATGACATTATATTCATGTGTAATAAGAATAAGAATTTTTTTTTTCTTAAATGAGCATGATGAAGTCTGATGGTGAGTACAAAGAAACTCTAAACCATGTGATAACTCTAGCTCATATAAGAAGAATGAAAATTCAGAGAAAGAAAACATACCAAGAGCAATGTCATGTTGATAATTTGTTATAAAACTAGAGGGATAAAATGTAGAGAGAAGTGACATGCTAAAGATAAAGTTTCACCATGTTTATTCTTTACTTAATCTTTGGTAGAACCACCTATTTATAGGCTTATAAGATAGGAGATTGAATACCATTATTTATAATATACATATAGGTTACAAGCACTAATTACAAATACTTAGTGCATAAGTTACATAAAATTTAAATAGTGGAATACTAAGAGGTATGGTGGCCATCCACCAACTCATGCATTTACAACAGCAAACATAAAATGTTTGTGTTTTTCTAAATTTTTTTCTACTCGTCTTATCGCTCGAGCGACACTTGCTCTAAGGTCCTTCTGGTCGAGCTCAAGCTTCAAGCCTCCATAGCAGAAGCTTGAAGCTCTCTTGCCCCTCTCTCTCTCTCCATCTCTCTCTTCGTCCCTCTCTCTCATCAGTAACTTTTAGGGCTGGGCATCTGAGTACCGCCCTCGCCGCCTCCTCTCGTCTCTACGATTCTGTCAGTTGAAGTCTCGACGTCACACGTCATCGAACATGCGCGCACCATTGGCTCGTCGTGAATTGGAGTTGCTCATCTCCGATCTCTACAATTGGGTAATTTTTAGTTCCCTTTTTGTCCTTGTTACTGAAGATTGGAGTTTATTTTTCATTTGGGTTATGTTTGAATTATAGCTTATTTATATCTAATTCGATTTTATTTATATGAATTCTTGTGTGTAACCTGATTGATTATTTTTTCATAGAAAGTGATGAAATGCTTTTAGATTTTGACATTATGGGTCCATTGTGTTTCCTATTCTGGTTATAGAATTCATTGGTTTCAATTTTTTCAGTTGTTTTTGTTTGTTTTTTTATTATCTCATTTGAAGTCTCTAGTGCTCAGAAGTCTGAATGATATTTGCTCAGTGATGCTATTCATATGGGTTGCTTGTTATTTCTGCGATCCTGCTTATGTTGAATTGTTCATTTGATGCTTCTTTGCAATTTGTTTTTCATGTATTGGTCCAAAAAAGAAGTCTTAATATGTTAATCAACTTCTATATTTTGTTTAAAAAGAATTCTTGAATATGTAGTCTTTTGCACATCAGCTTGCCCTTAGCATGAGCTCTGCAGTCAAAATTAACTCATTTTATTGTGATTGATCGTTTCACTTAACTTGACAAGTTTTGATAAGAGCTTGTTCAGTATGTATGTGACAGTAACTATCATGTATTTTGTACACAAGTTTTTTCTTAGACATTTGTTCAAACTAGTAGGAATTGTTACAGAAGAAGTTTTCTACTCAAGTTTTCATTTTGATCAATTTCATAAACACATTACAGAAGTATCAAATGTCAATGTTTAGCCGTAGGGTTCCCTTTGGTTGTGGATTTTGTGAGTTTTGTTTTGGACTGGTTGAGCATCACAGAGGTATCTCTCTCTTCATCCACATCTCTGTCTGTCTGTCTGTCTGTCTGTCTGTCTGTCTGTCTGTCTGTCTGTCTGTCTGTCTGTCTGTCTGTCTGTCTGTCTGTCTGTCTGTCTGTCTGTCTGTCTGTCTGTCTGTCTGTCTGTCTGTCTGTCTGTCTGTCTGTCTGTCTGTCTGTCTGTCTGTCTGTCTGTCTGTCTGTCTGTCTGTCTCTCTGTCTGTCTGTCTCTCTCTCTCTCTCTCTCTCTCTCTCTCTCTCTCTAAGTTATATATAGCCAGTTTTATTGTTTTTTCATATTCGTGTGGCCATAGTTTGGATTTTCCTGGTATTGTCAAGCATATGGCTAGTGAACCATATTAAAGGTTATTGTAAGTTGTTCTACTGTTATGAAAAATCAGGCTTTGAATAGAGGCTTGCCTAAATTGGGTTCCATGTAGATTATGTTCTATGAAGGCTTGTTAGATTTGACAGAGTCTAAGAAGGAAATATGACAGTGCATACCTTATCATGGAATTCTTTATTCATGGATTGTGTTGTGTGTGGTAGCAATTTTGTATCTCAGCTATATCATGGATTCTTTATCTGCTATTTTAGTTAGAGACTTGTGAAGATTTATTCTCATTCCAATTTTGCAATTTGGTTATATACAAATACAATGGTGTCTGAAGTGACATTATTAGGGCCCGAATGGAATTGTACACAATTTGCATGATCTTGATGTGGTAGATGAAGAAAGCTCTTGCGGAAATCAAGCTGGGAACACACCCATTTGCATGAGTGAGGACAATGCTAATGAAATTAGTGATGCTAGAGATTAGATAGCCGGAGCAATATCATTAGTCTTAGAATTTATTAGTCTAGAATATTTTAATTTAATATGTATTATTTAAGACTTGAAGATCAATTGAGTTTGACGATCATTATATATGTATGGCATTAAAATATAGATTTTAAAATTAGTATGTTTAGTATAATTTCAATAATGTTTATCAATACCTTAGCTAAAAAAATAAAAAATAAAAAATGTTTTCAAGAATTCAACGAAACAAGTTTCTAAATTTTAAAACTTAAAAAACTGTTTTCAAGTTGCATACCAAACAAGTTTTTGAATTTAAAAAAATGGATTTGAGAACTCTTTGTTTTTTTTAAAATAATCAAATTTTTAAGTTCCCTACTTGAATAGGATACCAAACGGGCCCTAAGAGCATCCACAATGGTCTCCCTAAACTATCTCATTAGACAAATTTTAAGGAGGAATTGTAAAAATGCAACTCGAACCATGCTCTCTATCCACCTCCTAAAATATGGAGTTATCTAGGAGCTCCTAAATCTGAGGAGAGAGAAAAGACTTCTAGTGGCTCCCTATAATTTAATGCTGCTTTATTTAATGAGTATTTTAAACCTTTATTTAATGCTAACTATTTTTAATTTTATTTTTTTAATAGAGATGAATCAATCAAAAAAGAGTTATAACATTTATGACTCTAAATTAGGGAGTATGATTGGAGTTGAAATTTTTTAGAGAGCTCCTAAAATAGTTTTATTATATTTTTAGCTAAATTTTAGCTAAGAAATAGAGAGCGTCATTGTGGATACTCTAAAAAAGTAGATTGATAGAACATGGTGGTCAATTTATTAATATGAAGAAGATGGTGAGTAAAATTGCTGAGCCGAAAACAAAAGAATGCTCGACCAACCCAAAAGGAAAAGAAAGAGAAAAAAGCAAACAACAAAAGTTTTGATACCTCTTCAAAAAACGATGAAGCCGAAGAAAACATCAGAGGATGAGAAGGAAACCACGCCAAACAAAAGACAAATGAAGAGCATGCACATCTAATTAATCTCAAAACCATTTTCAATTGACATATGTATTAGCTAATTTCTATATAGTTATGCCATCCTTTTCTGAAGTGATTCTAAATGAGAATGCAAAGCTGCAAATGCTTTTTTTACCTGTATGAATTTGCTGTGAAAGTTGATTCATAGATTGGACAAAAGGCCTAAGGCCTACCGAATGCTTAGGGGCAGTGACAAAGTTAGCAGAAGCACAGAGATGAGAAGAATTAGCGTGAAGGAGAGGGCAAATGTGAATCATATTTGGTCTACACACAAAATGTGAATCATATTTAGACAACTTTTGACTACCAAGACCAAAGACCAAAATATCAAATCAAAGCCTTGGTTGCAAAATTTTCCAAAAGCTGCTTGCTGATTTTCCATGGAACAAACTCATCACGTACTTGCACACGCTAGAGTGATAAACATTTCATGTGCAAGTCATAACGTTAAAGTTGTTCCATCATTTCCTACAAAGAAAAGTTGGTACCTTCTTTTTTTGGTCTATGAATTTTCTCTGAAAGTTCATTCACAGATTGGACTAAAGGACTAAGGCCTACCAAATGCTTATTTTCATTATTAGGATGCACAATTCTCCGAATAAATACAAAGCTACAAATGCCTTTATGTCAAGTTAAAGTCGGACACAGTGATGTCCATTAATTTGTTGGTAACGTACTAATATATGGCCAAGAAAGATTCATATTTGGACAACTTGACTATCAAAATTAACACGCAGAAATGAAATGAGCATAGATAGACGACCAAATATCATGCCGTAACACTTACGAGGGATTAATGGTGCTTTGTATATCTAAAGAAGATAAACTACTATTCATTAAGCTTCATATAAATATCAACATTTTCTAAGGGTAACGTTTTGAGGAATCTTGACCTTAATGGAAATCAGTTGGAAGGGCCATTACCACTATCTTGCGCAATTTGGCTTAAATGCTAAAATGGTCCCTGTGTTTTAGCCGGTTGGCCAATTTAGTCCCTGTATAAGCTAATGTAATTCAACCCATTAAAATTCCATTCAAATATTAATAAAAATAAAAATATTTAAATTCAATTTAAAAATAAATAAATAATTAAGAAATAAAAATAAAATTTAAAAGCTAAAAGAAATAAAAATAATTAATCTCAACCGCAACAACCTTCTCTCTCTCTTTCCCAGCAACAACTCACCCCAGCTACTTTCCCCACCCATACCCCAAAGCCCCAAATCCCCAGGCCACAGCCACATCCAAACTCTCCCTACCCCTCAACCGATCCCAGTACGATCTTCCCCAACCCAACCATTCCCTACCCCCCAACCGATCCCAGTACTATCTTTATATAATTATGTTGCAATACGTTTTTTTATTACCATATAGGAACTAGCTTTATATAGGATTTAATTACTATATTAATTAGATTTTATCTAAATGATTGTTTTTACTTTTATGTTGATTACTTTATTTATTAACTCCTTTCTTTTCTTTAGCCCTAGAGAAAGATAATGGATTTTCATAAATGAAAATTTAAAAGAAAATTTTGTTTATGAATTTGCTCTGGAAGTTCAATCAGAGATTGGACTAAAGGCCTAAGGCCTATCAAATGCTTAAGGGAGGAGACAGAGAGTGAAAAGACAAGCAAAGCCGTGGAGAAGAATTAATGAGCAAATCAATGAAAATTAAGGTGCCCATTTTAACACGCAGAAATGTCTACGTATGTACCAAGACAAAAGACGACCAAATATCAAAGACTTGGGGCAAATTTTTTCCAATTAGATGACAAGACAAGCAAAGCCGTGGAGAAGAATTAATGAGAGCATGAAGAAGGGGGCAAAAGTCACTGGTGAAGACAAGGACGATTTTGATGGTCAATTTATGAATACTCATTCCCGGCTTCTTCAATACACAAATTTGGACAACTTGATTAGTATATGTTGCAGGTAACAAGTGGAACCCAAATTAACAAGTCTATGAAAATTTAGGTGCCCATTTTAACACGCAGAAATCCCTATTTACCAACACCAAAGATGGCCACAAACCAAAGACTTGGTGCAAATTTTTTCCAATTATATTTTCCAATTATATGAACATATTACCAAAATAAAAAATAAAAACAAAAGAAGCGAGCTAACATTGGTGTAGCAGGCCTTCACCCTCAATTTCAATTATCAGCACTTCAAATTGGGACCTACACCTGTGTTACAATGGGACCAACTATGTGAAGAGGACACCCAATCGTTATACCTACGAGGCACAATGATGCTTGATTATCTTTAAAGATGATAAATTACTATTCATTAAGCTTGTTATAAATATCAACATATCCAGTATAGAATTGCTCACAACTGTCTTATCACATAACTATATACTTTATATTTTTAAAGAAAGATGGGTTGGTTGTCATGGTTGTGCCTCCTCTTCCTGCTCTCTACTACTTGTCAATTCAACTCTACTTGTTCATCATCTAACTCTTCCTCTTCTCTTTCTTCAGGGCATTTATGCCATCCTGACGACAACTCTGCTTTGCTTCAATTCAAGAACTCCTTTTCTATTGATACCTCTTCTGATTGGACAATTTCTTCTTGGCAGAAAGCCAAGGATTGTTGTGCATGGAGTGGAGTCACTTGTGAAAAGCTGACAGGTCATGTGATCGGTCTCGAACTTGGCTTCCTTCGAGGCAAGATCCATTCCAATAGCAGCTTATTCTTTCTTCACCATCTCAAGAGGCTAGCCCTCATGGAAAATGATTTTGAAGGTTCCCCTATTTCATCCAAGTTTGGTGGATTTGTAAATATGACTCACCTTGACCTCTCTTTCTCCAATTTCAGTGGCCCAATCCCTTTCCAGATCTCCCTCCTTTCCAACATGGTTTCACTCAATCTCAGACAAGACGCAGAGACAGTTGCGACTCTGAGTCTGGATACACTTAGCTTGAACAGAATTGTTCAAAACTTAACCAATCTTAGGGAGCTTCAACTGTTCGGAGTTGACATGTCTTTAGTTATACCTGACTCCTTCAAAAATTTGTCCTCTTCTTTGACAACTCTTGTCCTCTTTGATTCCCAATTGCAAGGCAAATTCCCAGAAAGCGTTTTCCGCCTACCAAACCTTCGAGTACTAAACTTAGACTTCAACAAAAACCTCACAGGTTCTCTCCCCAATTCTAATTGGAGCAGTCCACTCGAAACCTTGGGCCTCTCTTATACTAGAATCTTAGTAGATTGGCATCATCTCACCAGATCTTTAAAGTCGTTACGAGATTTGTCTCTCTCAAATTGCACTTTTATAGGATCATATCTTGCATCGCTTGGTAATCTCACACAAATCACGTCGTTGGACCTCTCGCAAAACGGTTTTGGTGGCCAAATTCCATGGTCGCTTCTGAACCTTGAGAGACTCACTACTTTGGATCTTAGTGGCAACAATTATGTGGGTCAGATTCCAGAAGTTGAGAGCAACTCGACAGGGATCGCTTCTTTATATGATTTTTCAAAAGGACAACTGGTGGGTCCTATTCCTCGACACTTATCTTACCTTTCTTTATCAGAAAACTCAATCAACGGAACAATACCATCTTGGTTAGGTAGCTTGCCATCATTGGATCAGTTACACCTTGGAAGTAACCAACTTGGCGGTAATATCGTTGACTTCCAATCTCGTTCTTTGTCATTCCTTGATTTAGGCGCTAACAAGCTGGATGGGCTTATTCCAAGATCAATCTATGAACTCGTGAACCTTGGATGGCTTGATTTATCATCCAATAACTTGGGTGGAAATTTGGAGTTTGAAAAGTTTTCCAAACT